CTTCAAACTAATGAAATATAAAGTTATTAGTGAAGAAAACCCGTCTGGATAACAGCAGACTGACTGCTGGTAAAATGTACGACAGGTCTGGACCACTCCTGAATTTTGTTCGTATCTGAAAAAAAATCTTAGAATACGAAAACATTGGTGAATGTCACAAATTCCCCTAAATCAGTCGTACGCACAACTTAAGAACAAATCTGTGCGTACGAACAGTTCTTGCATGAGGCCTATCTTTTCTAAACCTAGATGTAAATCAGTAACCTTAAATTTCTAAAGTGCACAATTTACTTCCCCCTTTCAATCCATAATGGTCTCTTCCGGAACCTTTAAAAGGTGCTCAGGCCCCTGGGGGACTCTTTTAGCCTGAACACCCTGCAGAGGAAGAGACAGAGGTAAGTCGCAACACACTGAGAAACCGTTTCACACTACTTCAAAGATTAGTGACAGTAATACTTATATTTTATCCATTTATTTGTTTGTTTTGTTAACAGGGCAGGTCCCCATCAACACCAACTGAGAAGAAACAGCCTAACATCCACAAACTAAAAATAAAAGCTTCAATTCATTTCTTTGTAATTCTTTCATTTCAAATATTCAAACATCAGCATTTTAAGTGTACCAGAATAAGTAATGAAAACCTTCATTACACTGTATAAACAGCACCATGTAGTTTAATCAAGTAGGAAAATAAGAATAAAAAACAAGCAGACCAAAGCAGATGTTAAAAATTGTACAGTTTTAAGTTTTTAACCCGTGTCTCTGTGTAATTCTAATTAATCAGTTTGCTCTTTTAGCCATTTAACCTGTGAAAGGTGGAAGAATAAAAGAGCTTCTCTCTCAGAGGTTCCTTACTGAAACATCAGTTGTGTGTTGACAGGGCTGCTCAGTATGCCTGCATGCTGCTGGGCCACACGCTGCAGAAGACCAGGGCTGCATCAGAGCTCCACAGGACTGTCAGCGACCTGGAAGCTCACATGAGCCTGACAAGGAAGTGTAAGTGAAGCTGGTGTGTGTTTGTGTCTGAGGGTTGATGTTTGGTGTGACTCCTCTGTGTGTGTGTGTGTGTGTGTGTGTGTGTGTGTGTGTTGACCCACAGTGCTGCGGTTGGGGAACTCTGTGGAAGCTCTGCAGGCTGCCAAGCGGACCATCCACCTCTCTGACAGTGTGTTGAGGCTCTGCCTGACCATCAGCCACCTGAACAGAGCCATGTACTTCACCTGTGACAACGTGCTGTGGGCTGGGAAAACGGGCCTCCTGTCCAAACTGGATCAACAAAAATGGAGTCAGAGGTCTTTCAGGCAAGCTGCTTTCATTCTCTACATAATGTCTTAAAATAATCAGGGCCTGTATTTATAAAACTTCTTAGAATTACTCTTAAGAATGCTGCTAAGAGTGGACTTAAGTGTAAAAAATATCAGTTAAAAGCTGAGAG